GCTGCAAGACAGAAGTGCCATCACTCTATAAAGCAATCCCATTAAAATAATAGCAGATTTCTCAAGGAATGAATGGAATGATGTATTTCAAATCATAAAGAAAATAACTACCAACCTAGATACTTATCAAAGCTACACTATGTAATTGAAGGAGAAACAAAAAACTTTCATGAAAAAAGTTAAGGCAATTCATAACCACTAACTAGTGGTTAAAAGATACTTAAAGGAATCCTACAAAAAGAAGGAGGAAGAAATTGCATATTAATAAAAAACGGGAAAGAATAAATATCACTAGATGTGAAGATGAGCAAATGAGGAGTAAGAAAGAATCATGCACTACAAAACTGCAACTTATTGAAAAGAATTGCATGTCTTTCAATAGTAAATGAATTTTCTTTGGCAGTATTGGAATTTGAACTCAGGGCTTCATGCTTGCTAGGCAGACACTCAATCACTTCAGCAACTTAGCTAGCCCAGTATTTTTGTTGGGTATTTTTGAGATAGAGACTTACGAATTATTTGCCCAGGGTGGTTTCAAACAATGATCCTTTCAATTTCTGCCTCCTATGTATCTATGATTATAGGTGTCAGCCACTAGTATCAACCTAACAAAAGGAATGTTAAAGGACTCAATCTTCCAATCAAAAGACACAGATTGGTAGATTATACTAAACTAACAAGATCTGTCCATTTGTTGTTTACAATACATCCATGTCACTGGCAAATACAAATATAAGCTTAGAGTGAAATGAAGGGAAGATTCCCCAAGCAAATGGAGAACAAAAGTAAGCTAGAAAAGCTATATTCAAGTCTGACAAAGCAGACATCAAATAAAATTAGTCAGAAGAAATAAAGAAAGTTACTCCATATTGATAAACTAAATGACCCATCAAGGAGATATAACAGTTTTAAACATATACACACTGAATATTGGCATAACAAATTTCATAAAGTAAGCACTACTTGGCATTAACATGTATTTAGATCCTAACACAGGTTTAGTGGGTGATTTTAGTACTCAGCTCTAACCAGTACATCATTTATCCAGACAAAACAACAATAAGAAAGCATCAGAAGTAAATGGATCAAATGGACTTAAGAAAATCTATAGGCTATTTTATTAAACAGCTGCCTAATACACAGTCTTCTCAGAAGTGCATGGAACTTTCCCCAAAATAGAATATATCTTAGGTCATAAAGAAAATCATAACAAATACAAAAATAATTGAATTGCTTCCTTTATTTTATCAGATCATAAAGTAATCAATAACAAGAAGAGCTACAGAAACCATTCAAACATATGGAGACTAAAAAAATTCACTCTTGAATGATTACTAGGTCATCAAAGAAATAAGATAGAGAAATTAAAAACTTGCTAGAGTCAAATGAAAATAAAGGCATATATTAGCAGAACCTTTGGACACAGCAAAGGCAGTGCCAAGTAGGGAGTTTATAGTTATGGGCACCTTTATTAAAAAAAAAGATCCCAAGTAAATATCTTACTGATGTACTTCAAGCTCTTAGAAAAACCAAAACAAGCCAAATACCAAAGCAACAGATGGAAAGCAATAATAAAGACCAGGGCAGAATTTGAGAAAATGGTGACTAAAAGAACAATGCAAAGAATAAATGAAACAAAAGTTGGTTTGTAGAATAGATAAGCAAGATTGGCAAACTCTTAGCAAAAATAATTGAAAGAATGAGGAGAGAAGACTCAAATTATTAAAATTAAAACTGTCAGAGTATCACAACAAATTGCAATGAAATTCAGAAGATCACTAGGTAATATTTAGAGAACTTAGGTTATAATAAACTGGAAAATCTAGAAAAAATGAACATCTCTAGATGTATATGAACTATCAAAATTGAACCACATAGTCTGGGGGCATTGGTACCAGAGCAAGAGGGGAGAAGGTGGGGAAAGGGTGTGGGAGGGTGAGTATAGTGCAAATACTGTGTACACATGTATGTAAATGGAAAAAATGATACTTGTTGAAACTATTCCAGGAATGGGGGTTGAGGGGATAAAGGAAAATTATGGAGGGAGTGAATTCAAGTATAATATATTTGATACATTTTAAGAACTTTTTAAAATGCCACAACATACCCCTACCTAGCACAACAATGAAAAAAAAGACTATAGCTACAATCATTGATCAAGCATATAAACTCATAGAGAATGAGAATGAAAATTAGGGGGCTTTTATTAATTAGTACATTCACCAGTTATTTTTTAACCACTTTTTCCTCATACCTCTGATATTATAAACACATGTGGGTACTCACCTGCCCTTACAAGCAGTAAGGGATTAATCAGATTCAAAAAGAGATCAACAATTCTCCTTACCTGATCTAAAAGCTCTTGGGACAATACCCATTTCCTGTTTTAACAGCATAAAGCCCACAATGTCAATTTAAAAAATATATTAAATTGAAGCTATACTAAGGTGTCTCCCAACAAAGAATTCTGGAGATCAGATGAATTTGCTGCTGAATTCTACCAATCCTTTAAAGAACTAATACCAATGCTCCTCAAACTTCCAG